AGAGCACTGTGTCCTGGGGCACCACTCCGATGTGGGCGCGCAGCGATGCCTGCTTCACCTGGGGAGGGGGGGGAAGAGGGCTCAGCCAGACACCCCCTCCCCTGCAAAGACCCCCCCCAAAACCCAATCCCACTCCTCAGCCAGCAGCCCCACACCCTGCTCCTCAGGGTGTCTGCTCCAGGGTCCCCCCTGCACCACAGGCTCAGCTGCAGGGTGGGAGGACCCTGCCAGTGCCCTGGGCCTTATTGGGGAGCCGTGGCCAGTCCCCAGCATTTCAGCCCAGGGGTCCCACAGCCACCCCACACACATCAGCCATCAAAGGGGCTGCAGGGGCTGCGTGCTCACGCCTGCTCCAGGGAGATGTGGTGCTGTGAGGCCCAGAGGAGCCTGCGTGTCCCCCTGTCCCCATCTCACCTGGGAGATGTCCTGCCCATCGATTCGGATGCAGCCACCCCGCACATCGTAGAAGCGGAAGAGCAGGCGGATGACCGTGCTCTTCCCTGAGCCTGAAGGTCCCACCTGCACATGAAAGGGACTTGGAGACACCAGAGCCCCCCCCCTCCTGCTGCTGGAGGGCAGAGGCTGGGCAGGGAAGGGCTGGCTCCACTGGGGCTCTGTCCTTCCCCCCTGTACTTCTCAGCTCCTCTTCCCCCAGTCCACCCTCCAGCAGTGATCCCATGCCCAAAGTCCCTCTCTCACCAGGGCCAGGGTCTGCCCAGGCATCACAGAAAAGGAGACATCCTGCAGGATTTCCTTCCTGGGAGAGGGAAATAAGAGAGGGGCTCAGGACCACTGCTGCTGCTGCGTGTCCCCATGCCAGGCCCCATAGCTCAAGCCAGCCCATCCTACCGCCCCGTACCCATCCACGTAGCTGAAGTGCACGTTCTCAAACTCGATCCGCCCGGCCTCCAAGTGCAGGTTGCTGGCGTTCACCGCATCCTTCACCTGCCATGCGGTGAGACGCAGCCTCAGAGCCAGCCTGGCCCCAGGGCAGGACCACGGGGCCATGCCTGAGAGTGGGGTCCTGGAAGGTGGCACCCACCTCCTGCTCCTCGTGGAAGAGCTCAAACATGTTCTCCATGTCTACAAAGGAGTTCTGGATCATCCTGGAAGGGGGCAGAGACCAGGGGGGGACGGTTTGGGGGAGCACATCCTGACCCAGGCACCCCAGACACCCCCACAGCTCCCAGCATTACCTGTAGTAAGTCCCGAACCAGTTGAGCGGCGTGTAGAGCTGGATGATGTAAGTGCCGAAGAGGACAAAGTCCCCCACCTGGACAGGACAAGGGAGAAGGGCCCATCACTGCCAGCCCCGGGGCCTCACGCCAGGCTGGGGGTGCCCAGGCTGACAACAGCCTCACCTGCAGCTTGTTTTCGGTGACAAAGTAGGCACAGAGCAGGGACCCAGCCAGCAGCCCCAGGCCAATGACCAAGTTCTGCGTCTGGTTGAGGAGGCCCAGTGAGGCGCTCACCTTCCACTCCGAGACCTGCAAGAGGCAAGGTCCTCCAGGATGCTGCCGCCTTCAAACCAGACCCACAGCAAGCTCCATCCTCCCCACAGGAGCCCATGAGGCTCGCCTCCTTCCCTTGCCCAGCCCCTCCACGGGTGCTGAGCTCCCTGTACCTGGTATTTGATGATGGCATCGTTGAAGCGGTTCACCTCGTAGCTCTCCGCGTTGTAATACTTCACCTGCAGGACGCAGAGCCAGGGTCAGCACTTGGACCAGCCCACCCCCCCCAGTGCCAAGCAGTGCTCAGCGAACCCCCAGTGCTTACGGTACCGTCTCGAAATTGAGGAGCGAGTCCACAGCCCGAGACTTGGCCTCATTGTCCCGCGTGTTCATGTCCCGCCGGTACTTGGTCCTCCACTCGGTGATGAAGACGGTCAGAGCTGCAGGCAGGAGGGGGCTGCGTTGGCAGGGGCCCACCGCCCCACAGCCCAGCCTGGCACCCCTGCACTCTGCACCCCCCACTCACTGAGGTAGAGGCTCATACACACGAAGATGATGAGGCCAAACCAGGCGCTGAAGACTGAGGTGAAGTAAACGATGCCGATGACGATGTCCGCAATGGTGGGGACGATGCTGAAGACGATGTAGCTGGGGGGCGGGAAAGGGGATGGCGCATCAGCCCGGCCCAGCAGGGCTTCTCAGCCAGCCCCCACCTGCTGCGGGCACGCTCTGACCTGAGCAGGCTGTTGATGCTGCTGGTGCCCCGGTCCACGCTGCGCAGGACCTCTCCGGTGCGGCGGCCCCGGGG